CCTTGTCATCTTGCGAGGGGGATTACCCCCCTTGTCGCGTTCTGGCTTGGAAATATTCCTCTAGCATCTCCACTGAGTCCCCAGCAATGCCAACCACTACAGTCCAAGTCCTTTTGGACTCTTCGTGCCGACACTTTCCAATAATTAAAACCTGCACCGGTTGGTTCTTGAGGGTTGGATCTGCTAACTTCGAACGATGAATTAGACCCCCGCATAGTTAGACCGGTAAACTTATTCGAAGTATACCGGTCAACCTTTTGGTCAACTCTTTACCCTTCCATGAACGATTCATCTCCCTCCTAAGTTTGACCTTCTTGACCGGTCAACTTATATGTGTCTGACCTTTGACCGGTCATGGGTGAAATACACCCATCAATAAGCCCTCCACTTCTCGGTTATGCAATTGTGTCATAAGCGGGAAGTAAAAATCTGAAACAGGACTTTAAATTTTGAAATTTCGGCCTCTCCCGCTCAAAACATTTGAATTCAAAATTCAAAAAGTATACGTTCTGACACGTGTGGCCTGCTGGACGGCGTCAGACCCGCGTCCTTTCGTCTTCTCAGGCGTAATGATGGCGCCGCCTGACGCGGCGCGCCCTGGTGAAGCCACGTCGCCTCCTCCTCCTTCCTCCTTGCCTATATAAAGGCTTCCAACCCCATTGCCTTCCTCACTTCTTCCTCGCGCGTCTCCCGAGTTTCACCGGTCAATCTCCTCTCTCTTGCCTTCCAGCCCTCCGAGCCAAGTAAGCTCTCTTCTCTTTTCCTTAGCTTTCCTTTTGTTCTCCATTCTTCCTTCCGGTAAATGTCTTCCTCCGACAGCCAGTATATTTCCGCCTCGAATGCCTACGCATTCGAGGAATCCCCATCTTCTTCCTCCTCCACCGGGTCATCTTCACCCGATTTTAAACACCGGTTGGTTCCCAACACCACCGCCCCTGAACCGCAGCCGGTTAACCAAATGCCCGGTCAGGTTTTTCAGGAGAGGGATGAACCGGTTGACGATGAACCGGCTCCCTATGACCCTGATAACGAGTCATATGAGGAATGGGTGAACCGGCTGGAAGCGGCCGGTTACTTTCCCCTCCCCACTAGCTACCCCTCAGACATTTTCCCCCATGTTTCCAAGATTGCCCAAAACAAGGTTCGTAGGAATCTCCCGAAGGGGTATGTCCTTGAATTCGACCCCAGCTGGCCGAACATTATCGAGCCTCACCGGGATGATAGAATAGGCTTCCATATTACTTCTTTGGAGAGTGGCACCGTCTTCCCCCTCCGTCCCCTCCTTGTCGAGTTGTGCCATTGTTTTAAAATCCTTCCCGGGCAAATTACGCCCAATGCCCACCGTTTCCTCAACGCCTTTGTAAATATCTGCGTTGAACTTAAGATCGACCCTTCCCTTCGCCTGTTTCTCTTCTTGTTTGAAGTCCTTCCCGGTAAGTCGGGATGCGACGGTTATGTTTATTTCAAGGGCCGTAACGGCCGTCAATTTATCTCCGGCCTTCCACAAAGCAACCGGCAGTGGAAAGAAAAATTTGTTTTTATAAAATTTCCTTCCATTTCTCCTCTGGCCGGCATAAAGTGGAACGATCACCTCCTGAAACCGTAATACACTGAGCCGGCTAGCGCTCCAGACTTGGAAGAAAGTTTGGAGAAACTTCTACAAGGGGACCCGTTCACCGGGCAAATGTTCCATTACGGGGCTTGGATTTGGAGGATCTCACCGGGTGGCACGGGTACCCCCAGGGCTGATGAAGCAGCGGGGCACGGGGTACCCGCCCCGGGCAACACTGCAGAGGCTGGGGGCTCTAGTCACCCAGGTATCCTCCCTTCCTTTTCCTTCTTCTTCCTTTTATTATACCGGTCCAAGTTCAAGTACTTATATTTTCGCTTGTTTTACAGAGATGAACTTTAGAGCATTTAACATCCCGACGAAGAAGACCGGTGGTTCTTCCTCTGCCGCCCCCAAAACTATACCGGTCCCCGGTGGAGATCCATTCTGATGAGGGGTCTCCTCCGACCGAGAGGACCACGGTAAACCCTCCCCTGGACAAGGGGAAGGGAAAAGTTCGAACCAAGCATGCCGCCACTACCCATCCCTCAGCGAAGAGGAGAAGGGGAGAAAACGCCCCAGCCTCAGAGTCGTTAGAGCAGCTTTGGGTCAAGATGGGGCGAAAGCTGAAAGAGGTAACATTCGCCCGGTACATTTTCTTGAATTTGCTACTTGTCTGTCGCACTAACCGGTACGTTTCGTTTTGCAGATGGGCGAGGTTGGGCCTGAAACCTTGGAGAGGCTTGCCGAGGACTCCCCTTCCCGTTCACTCCAGCTGGAGGAAAACCTGAAGAGGCTTGAAGCTCAGAACCGGGAGCTTCAAGACCTGACAACCCGGCAACTTGACGAAATGGCCAACCTCTCGGCGGTTGCCGGTAGGGCGAACGCGGAGGTCCTCCAGCTGAAAGAGGAGAACACGATGCTGATGGGGGAGGTCTCCCACCTAAAGGAGGAGGCATGGGTGAAGGAGCAAGAGCTGCCCGGTCGGGCCAGACAGTGGATGGAGGAGAACCTGGCAGAGGCCGCCCGGGTGCTTACTTCCTCTGAGGAGAGGACAATGGAGGGCTTCAAGCTTCTGTACCAGGAGGACCATGGGAAGGAGATGATCATCCAAATCGGCTCCTATGGTTTCATGTCGGGCCAAAAAAGAGACCGGGAGGCCACCCATGCGATCCTCGCTGACCGGGACCCGAACTTCGACGCTGATTCATACGGCCTGGCCCCCATCCCGGACGAAGAACCTGAACCTCCTTTTCCTCTCGAGTAATCTTCCCGGCTGCGACCGGTTGAATCGTTCTGTAAAACTTCAAACTCATTTCCCCAGGAATGCCCGGTGTAGCTGTAAAACACTTGACTTTTTTGTTCTGCTTTAATGCAATGCTTAATTTCCATACCGGTTAATCTTCCATATCTGCTTGCTTCTTGATTGATACTTCGTTATTGCTTCTTCGAATACCATCATAGAAATTCTGACCGGTACATAAATCAGGCCACTTCTCAATTGTTTTCGACCGGTAGAACTTCAAAGTTCTCTTTGATCACTTTATCTGAAGGATCAGCTCGAGTAACTTTGACCGGTCAAACCTTAATTTTCGCTTTCTTGGCTCTTTTTGAATACGCTAAGTCCAACCCGGTTGAACTACAGTGAACCGGTTGAACTTCAACTTTTTCCTTTTGAATGTCTTCATCATGATGGCCAACTTAAAAACGTTTGACCGGCTGAACTTCCCTTTGGCTTTTTGGATACCTTCGTTCGATGAAGTAGAGTATGACCGGGAGTTCCGCTGTATCAATACCCAACCGGGGTATTCTTTTTTTTTTGTAATCGGTAGGTTGTAGGTGGAAGCACCTGTAACCTAGTAATTTCTTGGAGTATCCTTAACCGGTAAGAATACTGGAGAATTAACCATGTCGAATGGTTTCGAACCCTCTCCAGGGTTCAAATGCACCCTTCTTCCAGGGCCCCCTCTTCCGGGTGATTAAGTCTTTTAATGGCCCTTTGATTTCTACCATCCCGGGAAGGCCTTAGCTCACCCCCCCGTTCAAGTCTTCCCTGAGAAGGGGGAAACAGGATGCGCCACGGTGGACGATCCCCTTCTATTTCTTTTAATGGGCATCTTTTAGTCCCCAATCAAATTGATGGCGCCGGCTGATTCCCCGACACCAGTCAAACCTCATGGGCCCGTGTAAGTACGGTTCGAACCCTCTTCCAGGTCCAGCCCTCTTGCAGGCATACCCTCTTCCGGGCCCCTCTTCCGGGTTTTATCATTTTTTCTATTATACTGAGCAAGACCGGTGTAGTAACCAGCGTGCCAGGTCCGGGCCTGTGTCTCAGTTGGCTTATCCGAGTGGATTCGATCCACCCGGGAAGCCCTCCTAGGATAGGTTCGACCTATCAATTCTGCTGCTACCATGTAGAGTATTGAACCTTAATTTGATTGATAATTGAAGTAGGCCTTGCCTAGTATTACAATCACTTGTAGAACTTGTGAAGATGATGGGAATTCCAGGTTCTTTCTACCGGTACACCATCGAGAGTTTCTAACCGGTAGGTTCCCGGGCGGATGATAGCCCTCACCCGGTAAGGTCCTTTCCAGTTTTTGGCCAGCTTTCCCCCGTCTCCCGGTCTACTAGCCTCCCTTCTTCGTAAGACTTCATCACCGACTTGGAAGTAACGCGGTCCCACCTTGTTGTCGTGGTACTTCTTCACAACTTGTTGGTATGTACTCATTCTCACTTCTGCCGCCATCCTTCGTTCCTCGACCAAGTTGAGCTCGGCTAGATGGTCCTCTTCATTTTGTTGGGGTTGATAATTTGATTCCCGGAACGTTGGGAATTCAGCTTCGATGGGCAGCCTTGCTTCACACCCATAGGTTAGGGAGAATGGAGTTTCCCCATGAGCCCTCCTGGGTGTTACTCGGAATGCCCATATGATGTGCGGGAGCTCCTCTAGCCACTTGTTTCCTGCTTCTCCCAGCCGTTTCTTCAAACCATCTACAATAGTTCTATTGGCGTTTTCGACTTGGCCATTTCCTTGGGGTTACGCCACCGAAGAGCGATTGTGCTTGATTCCGAAGCCCTCCAAGTATTCGGCGAACCTTGGATTTTGGAATTGCGGGCCGTTGTCGGTGATTAGATTCATGGGAGCTCCAAACCTCGTGATGATGTTCTTCCAAATGAATTTCTTGCATTGCTGCGTGGTGATGTTGGCCAACGCTTCGGCCTCGATCCATTTGGTGAAGTAATCGATGGCTACGATTACGAACTTCTTCCCTCCTTGGGCGACTGGAAAGGCTCCAATGATATCAACCTTGAATCTAGCGAATGGGATGACATTCGATACGGGGTGATAGTAGGTCGCCGGTCTACCGGGATACTTGTAGAACACTTGGCATGTTCTGCATTTCTGAACATACCTTTCACAATCCTGGACAATTGTTGGCCAGTAATACCCCAATAAGATGATGCGCTGGGAAAGCGTACGGGACATTTGGTGCGCCGCGCATACACCTTCGTGGACCTCCGCTATGACTCGCTGAGCCTCCCGGTTAGTTAGACATCTCAGGAGTGGCCCCCCAAATGCCCTTTTATACAGCTTTCCATCAAGAACCTGGAATCGGGGTGCCCTGAGCTTCACTTTTCTTGCCCGGTCATCCTGTTCTGGCAAGTTCCCATGCATCAAATATTCCATCAGATCATACATCCAATGGTCGTCCGCCCCGACCAGGTTTGACTGGTCGGGGCGACTTCCAATTTTTCGATGCTTGCACGGTCAAGGATCTCTACCCGGGCAAGTTTTGAAACATGCTCGGGAGCATACTGCGTCAATTTGGAGAGAAGGTCTGCATTCGCGTTCTCCGCCCGGGGAATTTGGGCGATCTTGAACCCTTCGAAGCCTTTCAACAGGGCAAGTACAAGGTCCTTATATTGTGCCATGCGTCCTTCTCTTGCCTCCATGTTGCCGGTCACTTGCCCAACGATGAGGCTAGAGTCAGATTTGATACTGACCCGGCTGATTTTCAGGGCTTGGGCAAGTCTGAGCCCTCCAGCCAGAGCTTCGTATTCTGCCCCATTGTTTGTCAGCTTGAAGTTGAAGACGATTGCATGGTAGATCTTGAACCCTTCTCGGGTGGTGAACACGATACCACCCCCGTATCCTCTAGGACCGGATGCCCCATCAACTGCAATCTCCCACCATTGCTCAGTGGGCTTGTTGACCGGTAGGTTTGGAGTTAGACCGGTCATTTCTACCAGGAAGTCTGCAAGGGCTTGTCCCTTGATTGCTGACCTTGGCCGGTACTCAATGTTGAATTGAGTTAACATCATCGCCCACTTCACCATCCTCCCGGAGGATGTTGAATTTCGCAACACTGCACCCAACGGTTGGTCGGTCAAGACTTCCACCGGGTGAGCTTGGAAGTAGGATGTTAACTTTTTTGCGGAGATGAAAAGCGCATAGGCTATCTTTTCCATCGCCGTATACCTACTCTCAGCTCCGTTTAGTGCTTTGCTCACATAATAAATGGGCTTTTGTGCCCCATCATCTCTTATTAAAACGGAGCTTACAGCATTTGGGGAAATTCCCAGGTACAGATATAGAGTTTCACCCGGTTTGGGTTTAGACAATACAATATCCGACGCTAGGTACTCTTTCAGCTCCTCAAATGCCCTCTGGCATTCTTCATCCCATGCAAATGTGTTGGCCTTCTTCAGAACTTTGAAGAAGGGCAGGGATCTCTCAGCTGACCGGGAAAGGAACCGGCTGAGGGCCGCTAGACGACCGGTCAACTTTTGAACATCCCTAACGGAGGTAGGGGCTTGCATTTCAGTGATGGCCCGGATTTTCTCTGGGTTGGGCTCTATTCCTCTCTTGGTTACCATGAATCCCAAGAACTTCCCGGTACGAACCGCGAAGACGCATTTCTTAGGATTCAGCCGGAGATTGTATTTTGCCATGATATCGAATGTGGCTCGCATATCAGCCAGGTGGTTGAGAGATACCTGGCTCTTGATCAGCATGTCGTCGACGTATGCCTCCATGGTCTTTCCCAGCAGTGGCTTGAAGAGTTTGTTCACCATGCGCTGGTAGGTTGCTCCTGAGTTCTTCAAGCCAAACGCCATTACCCGGTAGCAGTAGGTTCCTTCTGGTGTGAGAAATGACGTCTTCTCTTCATCTTCCTTGGCCATGTAGATTTGGTGGTAACCCTTGAAGGCATCCATAAAACTTAGGAGTTCGCACCCCGCAATTTCGTCCACCATTTGATCTGGACTGGGAAGGGGGTATGAATCCATCGGAGAAGCCTTGTTCAAGTCCGTATAATCCACGCACATTCTCCACGTGTCGCCCTTGGGAGCAAGGACAACGTTGGCCAGCCAATCCGGGTATTTGACTTCCCGGATATGACCAACACTGAGGAGATCCTTCACTTCCTTCTTGACGAAGTCTCGCCGGTCACTGGCCAGGTACCGCTTCTTCTGACGTACCGGTCGACCCGTGTAATCTCCGCCTTGAGATCTTCTAGGAGATTTGCTCCAATTCTGACCATCCCCGAAGAATCACCCGAGTGAAGTTCGATTTCCACCGTCTCGGCCTCGGGCTCTAATCTCTCCCGGGTCTCTCCCTTTGTGATCTCTTGGGAGATGACATTGACCCCCTTGGTCATCTTCTTGACTGCCCGGGCATAGCATTCCCGGGCATTCCTCTAGTCACCCTTCACCTCACCCACACCACCTGGAGTGTCGAACTTCATGCATAGATGAGGCATGAAAATCACCGCCCCGACTTTATTGATGCCTGGCCTTCCAAGGATTGCATTGTGGACGCATTTGATGTCCACAACTATGAACCGCATCTTCTTCCATACGGTTTTTTCACCCGATCCTAGTTCGACCGGTAGAACTATGGATCCTTCAACTTCAACGGTGTCTCCCGTGAAGCCCGAGAGAGGAGTTTCCAGGGGTTCAAGTTGTGTCCGACACAACCTGAGTTTTTGGAAAGTCTCTAGGTATAAGATGTTGACACTGCTGCCGGTGTCAACAAGTACCCGGGCGACATCCACCCCATTAATGTCCATGGTGATGACCAATGGATCATTGTGATCTTCACCGGTAGGAGGGAGATCCCGGTCAGTAAAGACGATCGGCTCTCTCCTAGTATGCTTACGCCTGGGCGGTTCAGCGCTTACCTCACCAACGTAAATGCTCCGGACCCAGTTCTTCCGTTGCGCGGCTGAATCTCCACCTTCAGGTCCGCCGAAGATCATGCCTATGTGTTCTTTTTCAGGAGCAGGTTGCCGCTCCCTTGGTCGGTTGTTCCTCCGCCGGTCGTTGTCCCGGTCATCTCCCGGGGCAGCTGGCCTAACCCATTGATGACTCTTCTCCTGGGCTTTCTGCAAGTAATCTTTGCCCAGTTCTCCACTGTCTATCATCTGCCGGATTACTCCCTTAACACTCTTGCATTCAGAGGTGTTATGGGAATCTGACCTGTGGTACGAACAATAGGTGCCCGACCACTGCCGCCCTGCTTGACCGGTAGGGTTTTCCGGAGGAATGACCGGTGCTTTCCGAATTTCTTGGCATTCTTCCGTATTGACCATACGGACGACCGGGTCATAGTGGTGCCTTGGCCGGCTAGATCCCGATGCTTCTTCCTTCTTGACTTGCACCGGTTTGGGCTTGTAACCATGCTCGGCTTCTTTCTTCGCCCGGAGTTGAGTTTCAGCCTCAGCAAACTCCCATGCAGTATGGTAGGCCTCTTGGTACGTGGCCGGGGGGTTTCCGGCAGAACTCGTTGTATAGTTCCCCGGCACGCAAGCCATTCAAGAGGAGGGATAAGACGGTCTTGTCATCCATCTCTTCCACCTTGTCTACCTCTTCCTTCCACCGGGTAAGGAACCGAGTAAGGTTCTCAGACTCCCTCTGCCCGACTATACTAAGATAGGTGAATTTTTTCCTCTTAGTACAATTCTCCTGGAACTTGGCCTTGAATTTCGAGGCCAAATCACTGAACGAATCAATGCTTTCCGGGCGAAGCTTATTGAACCATTCAGTGGCTCGGTTCCGCAAGGTATGAAAGAAAAGAAGGCACTTTTCTTCATCGGTGCAACCGTTCATAGTTGCACTCTGGTTGAAGGAGTCCAGATGGATCTCCGGATCTTCCTTCCCGGTGAATCTAGGGGCGTCGATCTTGACCTTCCGTGGGAAAGGTGTCAGATGGACCCTTGTGGTGAATGGGGACCCCGCCAGGGGTTTGTCCCGGTCATTCTTCTCCCCGACCTTCTTCTCCAACCTTTCCAGTTTTGCCTCCATCTGCTGGACGCGGTCATTTGGGATGGTTAACCGGTTCGCCACCGGTAACCTGGGCTGGCTTTCTGCCTCCTCTTTCTGGCGAGAGGCTCTCATCCTCGCTGGCTCCTCCCGGTTAGACCGGGAGCGCTGGGTGCGGGCAGGCTCAGCCTCCCTCACCTCGCCTAGCCGGGCGAACGCGCTGACATGGGCAACGCTCTGCCCCAGCCTTTGCTTGGCTGACTTCCTCTGGCCTTCCTCCCTATCCCCCAGCCTTTCGAAGGCGGAGTTTCGGGAGGTCGCTGGCCGGATGTTTTTTCCTTTCTTCTTCTTGTGGGCCCTCGGAATGTCCCACTCGCCGTCATCACTCTCAATTGAGACGCAATGACCATCAGGAGTGATCTGCGGATTCATACCTTGCGGGGGACGCGACGGCCCCGCAGCGTTAAGTGCGCCAGTCAAGTTGACAGGGGCCATGGTGCTGACCAGCTGGGGCTGGAAAGGTGATGGCTGCGGCATCGGTGTCTGGAATGGCGTCACTGCCATTGGAGCTTTTAGGGGTATGGTTCCCGCGCCTGGAAGAGCGAACGGGAACATACCAGGGAGAAAAGGCATCCCCCCGTTCTGTTGGCACATGGCCATGACCTGACCAAAGCCCTGGATGGCTTGTAGGTTGGCTGGGTCATTCATGAACTGAGTCATGCTTGGTGGGAACGTGACCCTCGGCCCAGCGGAAGGGACGGGGGTCGTGAACGGGCTGGCCACGCTAGGTGTTGGGACTAAGCTCAGACCCAACGGCAGCACCGGGGTGGAAATGACTGGTAGGGTAGCAGCCATGGGGATGCTGGTACCCTCATTGGTGGCTTGCACCTGAGCGGAAGTAGCGTTGATCTGTTGACTGGAAGACATTTTAAGTGGTGTTTTTGTGGGTAGGTTTGTGTTTAGAAGAGAAGAAACCTTAACGGTCCCACGGTCGGCGCCAAAAATGATGGTGTAAATTACGTGACCGGTCAAACTATACCAGACCGGGTCTAGAATAGTTTGCTTGATTTGGCAAAGTATGAAAGGTAAAAACACGCAGATTGACCGGTAGGACTTTAGGTGGAACACCTGTAGCCCAATTTATATTATAACGGAGAATGCACGGGTGCTTTTACAGGGGAGCTTAGAGAGAATGAATTCGGATCCCCTTCCTCGAGGGTTACAAGAGGTATCTATACTAAGCTGGGGGACAGGACCACGTGCGCCCACGTGGGGGCACGCTGCTGATGTGGTGCGAGATGACTGTCCCTGAGCCACCTTGTCATCTTGCGAGGGGGATTACCCCCCTTGTCGCGTTCTGGCTTGGAAATATTCCTCTAGCATCTCCACTGAGTCCCCAGCAATGCCAACCACTACAGTCCAAGTCCTTTTGGACTCTTCGTGCCGACACTTTCCAATAATTAAAACCTGCACCGGTTGGTTCTTGAGGGTTGGATCTGCTAACTTCGAACGATGAATTAGACCCCCGCATAGTTAGACCGGTACACTTATTCGAAGTATACCGGTCAACCTTTTGGTCAACTCTTTACCCTTCCATGAACGATTCATCTCCCTTCTAAGTTTGACCTTCTTGACCGGTCAACTTATATGGGTCTGACCTTTGACCGGTCATGGGTGAAATACACCCATCAGAATATATAGAAAAGTGAAGTCTTACCTATTAGCTTAAGCTTTTGGGTTAGAATAGCGGATCATAACTTTATATACAAGTGATTAATTTTACCCGACACTCTGCCCGTTATTCTCGACCCACCAGAATTTTAAAATTGAGATAACTGGATTGTGTAATAAGACACTTGGACTAAACAATATTAAAAGATTGAATTCAATCGATTACTTAGTTCAACTCAAGAACTTATACACCGATTGCTTTTCTATTCAACTTACGATGTTGGATAGACTTTAACAACCTCTATCTTTTGTTCCTCCTATGTCGCAACTCTCTCTTTTGTTCCTCTGTGCCACAGAATGAGGCACAACATGCATATAAAAACACTATTAAATGTTTAATAATGTGTCTCCAAAATCTGATCTACATATTTACAAGCACATTCATATGCGCATCATGCATGAGTTAGTAAATAAATTACTTGTACTACCTCCGACCAGTGTATTTGTTCAGTTTGACTTTTTCGAGTCAAACCAGACAAACTTTGAACTCCAATTACTCTCAATTTATATTGCATATTAGCATAATGAAATACAATTTTGAAAGTTCTCAATACGATAAATCTAATAAAGTCATTTTTATGTTAAAATACATTACGGTTTTTATTTAATTGAAGCTCAAACTTTGTCCAGTTTGACTCGAAAAACTTAAACTGGACAAATACACTGGAACGGAGGGAGTATCATTTATCTTAGTACATATTTTGTTGAGTGTGAAGCCAGGAAGCTAGGTGGAAGCTAACAGGAAATTGACAGGAAGCTACCTAGAAGCTTACGGCTTAATCATTGTCTCCATAACTAATCTCTATTTAAGAGATGATAATGTGCTTGTAATTGTGGTGCAACAAATGAAATAAAATCCTCCTAGTTGCCCCGTGTGGAGTAGGTTGCAGTTGGCGACCGAACCACACTAAATCCTGTGTCATTTATTTTTTCTGCAGTTGATTCGTGATTGTGTTTTGTTTCCGCGTGCGTTTATTCCCAACAAGTGGTATCGGAGCTTTGTCTCGTCAACACACCGGAAATCCGATCAGCAGAAACTAATTAGAGGGGTGCCACTTAAAGAACCCTGTGCAGTAGCAGGAGCCTGTGTTTGGGCCGCTGCCACCGGAGCACCCCCATCCCTGTCGATCCACGGAGCGCTGCCACGCTTGAATCGGGAGACCTGCAGCAGGGAGTGAGTCATGAGAGACTCGCCGCTGCCGCCATCAATCACGCAGCCCCAAAACCGCCGTCAACCGCGCGCAGAGGAGGAGCCGCTGGTCCGTCCAGCCGCCGCCACTAGCCGCGCAAAGAGGTGCATCTCTGGTCTGTCCAGCCGCTGCCGCTAGCCGCCGCGTTAAGGAGATCCAACGCCGTCGGGTTGAGGAGCCGCCGTTTCCGTCCAGATCGAAAGGTGCTGCCGTTGACCCAGTTGCCGCCGAGCTACTATACCGCCTTCTAGTACAGATCGCCGTCACCGTTTGACTTCCGACCGCCGCACGCAGGAGCAGCGACAGAAGGAGCCGCCGCCGCCGTAATTGATAGCAGATCCTGAACTGCCGCCGTCCTCATTTGAAGCTACTGGTTCGAGCAGGTCACAAGCCGCTGTAGTCTTCAGCCGTAGAGTGTCCAGAAGCTTCGCTGTGCAGTGGCAAAAAGGAATTTTTTTCTTTTGGCAGGTACTGTTCAATCCTATTAGTGGAGTATTATTGTGGACCGTGACTTGTGGATTGGTGAGGTGCTATTGGGTGTATTATTGGAGTGGTGGGCCACTGGTGAAAAAAAAGTGGTGGAAGCCATTGTAGAATTTTTTGGTGGAAGTGGCGTGTTGTTTTTAGGAGGTGGAGAAAGTGGACAAAAGGTGGGCCAACATTATTAGTGGTGGGTAATTGTTTTTTGTGGTGCTGAATTTTTTTTAGTCCTAGATATTTTATCTGATAAAAATATCAAGATTTGAAATAAGTTGTACCGTGTATCTCATCTTGTCGTTGGAGATGGCAGAAGATGGGAAGTTTCGAATTGAGAAGTTCGATGGCACAGATTTCAGTTGGTGGAAAATGCAAATTGAAGATTTGCTAGTTTAGAAAGATTTGGACGTGGTTCTAGGTGACAAGCCAGAAAAGATGTCAGATGCAAATTGGGCAGGTTTGGATCGGAAAGCAATGTCCGTGATCCGATTATCGTTGACCAAGAATGTTGCGTTCAACATTCTAAAGGAGATGACAGTGAAAGGCATTATGGAAGCGCTGTCTAACATGTATGAGAAGCCATCTGCAGCAAACAAGGTGTTTCTGATTAGAGAATTGGTAAACACAAGGATGAAAAATGGCACTTTAGTTACCGAGCATATCAACAAGTTGAATTCGATCTTAGCCAGACTTTCGTTAGTGGGCATTAAGTTTGATGATGAAGTTCAAGCTCTACTACTGTTATCGTCATTACCTAACAGTTGGTCCGAAACTGTTACAGCAGTTACTAGTTTAGCGGGACCTGACGGATTCACTTTTGAGAAGATTCGTGACTTCGTTCTTGGCGATGATGTCAGAAGAAGGAGTTCTGGTGAGTCTTCGGAAGAATCACTAAATATCGTCAGAGGCAGAAGAAATAACAGAGGTAGTGGGAGCAAGAACAGACGAAGGAGTCAGTCGAACACTCGGGATAGCTCAGGTGTAACATGCTGGAAGTGCAACGAGGTGGGGCATTTCAGGAATCAATGCCCAAAAGAGGATAAGCAAGTAAACATTGCTGAAGGCTCCACGAGCGACGAGGATTTGTTTATTTGTTGTGCGGAGAGCAATGTGGATTCCTGGGTCATGGATTCTGGTGCTTCATTTCATGCTACCCACAGCGGTGAAGCATTGCAGAATCTAGTTGTTGGGGACTTTGGAAAAGTACGACTAGCCAACAACAGAGCTCTTGATGTGATGGGCATGTGTGACATAGTGCTGAAGACCCCAGTCGGTTTCTGGACTTTGAAGGATGGCACAGTGGTTCCAGGCTTGAAGAAATGTTTGATTTCTGTCAGGCAGTTAGATGAACAGGGACACGAGGTGAAGTTCGGAAACGAGCAGTGGAAGGTCATAAAGGGAAATCTTGTCATGGCCCACGAAAAAAAGAGTGGGTTGTTGTACATGGTTGGGTTACCGTCTGAGGGAGTGACCATCCCAGTTCAGAGGAAAAACAAAGTCTGGTTCACAGAGTCTCGTGGGCAGAAGAAGGTTGTCTTTGCAAGAGAGAAACCTAGAGCCACAGGTCAGACTCAGGTTGGACGAGCAAGGAAAGGTTCAAGGTGGCCAGTCAGAGGTATTTGTGGCAGTGGGAGCATAGGTGGTGCTTCAGCCAAGGTTCCTAGAAGACAATGGGTCCGGAGAACCAGTATTCCAGCTGTTGAAACATCTCCATTAGATTTTTTTGCTGACTATGGAGAATGTTTGTTCTCAAGATGTTCCAGGATCCGACAATGCGTGTGTGCAGTGGGAGTCGGTAGGGACCGAGGACGAGTCAGGGGCAGTTCAAGCCATGACTGATGGGTTGAAACTCAAGAGAGTTTCAACAGAGTCTTCTCGATGATCAAGAAGGCTGGTGGCAACTAGAGGTGGTGGAATTTTGAGTTCCGTTATCAGATTACAGAAGTCCATGTGCACAGTTGAAGCGCAGGTGAACATTGTTCCGTGGCTTCAAGTGGGAGATTGTTGAGTGTGAAGCCAGGAAGCTAGGTGGAGGCTAACAGGAAATTGACAAGAAGCTACCTAGAAGCTTACGGCTTAATCATTGTCTTCCTAACTAATCTCTATTTAAGAGATGCTAATGTGCTTGTAATTGTGGTGCAACAAATGAAATAAAATCCTCCTAGTTGCCCCGTGTGGAGTAGGTTGCAGTTGGCGACCGAACCACGTTAAATCTTGTGTCATTTATTTTTTCTGTAGTTGATTCGTGATTGTGTGCTGTTTCCGCGTGCGTTTATTCCCAACATATTTTGCCGAATGTGATAAAGAACTTGAATTCTAAGGTGCTGCATTGTGTGAATCGCTAAAGCTCTCTTGATTTCTTCCTTATTTTAGAGGATTAAGAAAGATAGAGATGACGAATGACAAAGAGATGAATAGAATAATCGTTGGAAAAAATAGTAACTTGGTGATGGATATCCTGGACTGGGGGGTATCCAGCCCAACAAAATAAGCGACCCAACAAGGCGAATCTAACCGCAGGAATCGGACGCGCCCGGCCAAAGATGCCTTGCTCGGCCGAGTGGGACTTAGAGGAAACCTATTCAAGATGGCGACTGTACTTGGACATACGCTCCTACTCAATCCGGTTACATCCACTCGGACCATGTGACGGACCCAGTCAGATCCTTTCTCGGCTGGCTTCGAACGGCAGCGCCTGTGCACTCGGCTTTCGTACTTGGCCTCTGCCGCCAGTAAAGCATTGTGGACCTACTACGGGCGTGGGAGCCTGTATGCCCTATCTAATCAATGGGCCCACGCCAAGACATCTCTGATATGATTTTCTGTACGTTAGTTGTAGCCACCCAATTTGTAGCCACCATATTTGTAATCATATTTCTCGTATTATCATTCAAAAGGTTTGCTTCCATTGGGCCCAGCCCACCAGGCTATGTCCTAGACAAACAGCTAAGAAGCACACACATGAGAAAATGTATTGTATAAATATCCCTCCCCTGAAGGAGTGAAGGCATGATCACATTTTTACTACCAAGCAAGTATATTACTCTACTCTTGCGACCAAAAGACACTCAACCCTTGTTCGATACTCTTATGCCTAGTCTCTTAGGTTGTGGGTTTTAAAACCCATCACTTGGTAAATAGGCATTAGGTGAGTCATCTTAACTAACCAAGAATGATAACTACTTTTGTGACCTTTTTTAAAATAATTTTTCTTTTGCAAGGATAACTTAAATAAAAAAAATACAATGGGGTTCTAGTGACACCCACATTTCGTGATACTAGCAGTGCCACGGTCATTTAGGGACATTTCCGGTGTTCCGTTCATAAAATTGACGGTTCCTACCCTTATTAACTCACCTCCTAAACCCCCCACCCTATCCCGCCCCTGCACCCCCACCCAACTCCACCGTAAGCCCCCCACAAAATGTGTGGCTATTATGCATTGCACAATAGCCACACATTTTGTGGGGGGAGTTACGACGGAGTTGGGGTGGGGGTGCAGAGGCAGGGGTAGGGTCAAGGGTTATGGGTGTGTTAGGGGATAAAAATCGTCAATTTTACGAACAGAGCATCGGAAGTGCCCCAAAATGACAATGACACTGGAGTGTCACCGAACTCCGGTGTCACTAAAGCCCAACCGAAAAAATATTATATATGAATCAAAAACAAAAATTACTTTTTTTTTACGAAGTATTTAATACAAATTAAAATGAGATTTGACTAGTATGTGCTTTAATTTTATTAACGTAGACTTTAACATCAAGTTTTTAAAAAAAGAAAAAAGAATAAATATACAAGTACACACAGTCTCGTACTAGTTATTGAGTAGCTAGAAAGAAATTTTTGCAGTGGGTGAGAAAATTGATGAGAAAGTAGAATAGCTTGAAACTCACTTTTTTGGGGAATTCCTCGGAATCTACAGAGGCTTATTATTCAGAAGAATTGAAGCTACCTAAAATTTACTTTGGAGAGCACATCTATGGCCGGAGACTACCTGCAGAACTGCTCCACAACCTTCGCCAGCTTCACGTGCCTTTTAGCCAATGCTTCCATTAGCTCTGCCTCTCTAGCTTCACAATCCCTCTCCACTGCCATCACCCCCTCTCTGTACTCAATCTCTACCCTTCCCCGGAACCCCTCTTCCTCATCTCTCAGCCGCCGTATCCGCTCCCCGATCTCCTCCATCTTCTCCCTCTTCTTCCGACCCTTCTCCGCCTCCAGCTGCTGCTCCAGCCGCCTCATCCGCCACGCCGCCTCCTTCCGGTGCCGCATCCAGTTCGCCCGGCCTTCTTCCAGCTCCTTGACGTGCTGGACAAGAGCGCAGATCTGCTCGCCGGAAGATGAATTAGATGCGGCGGCGCCGGCGGCCGGGAAGGGGTGATTCATCATCCATTGCCCCACGGGCTGCGATTCCGAGGGGAACCCGCAGAGCGCCTGCTGGCGGCCGACGTACTTCTCGGCGAACGTCTCGAGAATGTGGTCGTACTTCCCCTGGGCGGCGGAATCCGGCGACCCGCCGCCGGGTCCGTCCCCCGGTGGGAGCTTGCGGGAGTTGATGAGGAGCTGCTGCTGCTGCTGCTGCTTGGCCTCTTTCTCCTTGAAAACCTCCCACCACTTGCCGAGCCTCTTGGCGGTCCGGCCGGGGATCTCGGCGGCGATCTTCTTCCACTTGTTGCCGTACTTGGCCTGGAGGGAAATGAGGAGCTGCTGCTCCTCGGGGGTGAGGGACCCTTTCTTGAGGCCGGGTTTGAGGTAGTTCTTCCAGCGCTCGAGGCAGGACTTGGGATCCCGGTCCAGCGGCCGACCCATGCGCTGGGGGATCAGATTCCATTCCTTAGGGCCGTACTGCTTCACATAGGAGAGGACAAGGGAGTCTTCTTCGGGTCTCCATCGCTGCCGCTCCCCCTTCATCATCACCCTCTTCTTGTACCAGTTGAAGGTGGGGTTTTTTCTTTTTCTTTTTTACCAGTTGGGGGATTATTATTATTATGAAAATTTCTCCGCTAGGGAACGGAACAATATAGAAATCCGGAAGATTCACGCTGGTTCAGATTGGGGGGGTAAAGGTAAACTGTCAGCTTCGGGTTTTGGGTAATGAAAGCGAGAGTGGAGTGCATATGAGCCAAAAATGGATATAGAGAGAGAGAGAGAGAGAGAGATCGGGGACCGTACCCATCCATGCTTTAATCACATCGGAATATGCTACAGTAACTTCTCAACTTTGATTTTTCTTTTCACAGCACCGTAAGTCTGATCTTAATTCTTAACTTTTTCAATGTGGGAGAAGAGCAAATTAGGACTAAAACATTGAAAACATACTAAAATGGAACTTTCATGTTTTTATTCTCGAAATAAGACTTCCATGTTTTTATTCCCGATATAGGATTTACATTACCAAACATGGTCATATACATTACCAAAAAAAGTATAGTAATCTGCACATGTACACTGTCACATTACCACATGCAAAGTCCTATTCTGGGAAAAAAACATGAAAGTTCTATTTTAGTACTTTTCTCTGTGTTTTAATCCTATTTAGGATGATTTCTATTTTAATTTCTTACAGTTATTTCTAATGTTTTTCCAGTTCTTCCAGTTTCTTCCAATTTTTTCCAGTTTCTTCTAATTTCTTCCAACTATATTTATTTTCTTCAAATTTTTTCTACTTTCTCACAAATCACTCTAAAAAATTATTATTATTATTACAAGTTTTTTTTAATTTCAACTTTTATGTTCATAACTATAGTTTATAAATTATTTCATTTTTCATCTCACTAATTTTATGATTCACATTCATTATTATTTTTTCTTCGACTTTTTAATATGAATAATACCGTTTTTAATATATTAATCTACATGAAAAATTAGGACACTATTTAAAAAATTATGGATAAATAGTTATATAGAATATTTTTTAATCTAAATTTATATAAGGTAAACATCAATATTTTAATCTAAAATATAAAGTATGGAATGTGGTGGGGAGTACTACATTATGAAAACCAAGAGAAATTACATTTTGAAAAAGAAAAAATGACCCAAGAAGTGTAATATTTATGCTAATTTTATATTCTAATTATTTTTTTAAACTAGTTTTTTATATATGAAAAATAATACTCGTAATATTTTTTATCTTAAAAACAATCATTAAGATAACATGATAACACCACCACCACTACCACCACCACCACCAACAACAACAACAATAATAATAATTTATAACAACAAGAATCAGAATGAGAATAATATAAAACTACACATAAATTTTTTTAAAAACTTCTTTAGATTTTTCAATATTTTCTAGTTTTTTCAGTTTTTCCAATTTTTTTCAGTTTCTTCCAGTTTTTTCCAGTTTCTTCCAACATCCAGCTCTTTTTTTCCAGTCCTAAAGAACATGCCCTTAGTTTTGATCTCTTGGACTTCAAACCTTCTCTTTATGCTACATCAGTTTCAGTTTTCTTTAATTTATCTTAGAATTTTACGGGAAATGAGTTCCTGATCGACCATAGAATGAGATCCTCGTCATTAGAGTTGTTTAGGTTGATGGCAGACTTTGTTCTGACAAGCTGTTAGTATCTTTTGTGTGAACCTCATTGGGGGACCTTTTCTTTAACGACCGGGCCTCTCAAAGTTGTAGAGTTGTTGCCATTTCGGGAAACACCTTAAAATTTTCCACAAATCAATGGGGACTTTGCCTTGGTGTATGTCGTTTTGATATCGGCGGCGGCTTGCTGCAGAATATCGGCACCATTCTTCCCGCTCTTCTTGGACCACGCACATTCCTTGTACATTCTGATAAATTTTTGAACTTTTTTATTTATGTGACCTCATTTGGAACTTGAAAGTGTGTTAACCTCTAGTTCGGTAAGAGGGGTATTTGTTCATTGCGACAAATAATTTCTTCTCAATACGATCTCACATCGCATATCTCGTTTAACAAAACCTTTGAGAAAATGTAAACTAACACAAATATACGACATACAACATATATAAAATATATAATAAAAAAATTTAAAATTTATCATCGATAGGATGTTCGGAGACGTTGAATGCCTCTCAACAAGAAATGGATAGAAAGATCGGGGACCGTACCCATCCATGATTTAATCACATCTGGATATGCTACAGTAACTCCTTAACTTGAGTTTTCTTTTAAAAATAAATTCATGGGGTAAATTCTACATATTTGATCCATTATTACTTCTCCGTCCATAATTAAAGTTCTTACTTTCCTTTTTTGGATGTCCACAATTAAAGTTCCTATTTCCTTTTTTGGTAACTTTTTTTATCAAAAAGACTTAAATGCCCTCCACTTTTCTTCTTTTTCTTCTCTCCTTTTTTTCTTTCTTTTTTTCCTTCTCTTCAGTTCTTCTTTCCTTCTCTCTCTCTTTTATGTAAAATGTGCACTAAATAGGACTAAAACATAATGACTTTCCTAATCTAGGACTTAAATTTTTTTATTCTCTAAATAGGACTTAATAATGACCTTGTGGGAGGAATAATGTCCAATAATGATAGACATTTAGTTGAATAATGACTAATTCATAATGACCAAAAGTCCTACATTGGGAAATAAAAACATATGGTCCTACATTGGGAAAGTCATTATGTTTTAGTCCTATTCCTCTTTTATTAATCTTCTTCTTTCCGTTCTTCTTCTTCTTTCCTTGTTTCCTTTTTCGTTTTTTTCTTTTTTCTTCTTCTTCAGATTTTTCCTTCTTCTTTTTCTTCCCTTCTGAATTTTCTTTTCTTCACCTTCTTCATTTCCTTCGGATTTTTTTTATTTTTCTTTTTCTTCTTCCCCCATTTCGATTTTTCCTTCTTCTTCTTCTTTTTCTTCTTCTTCTTTTTCTTCTTCCTCTTCTTCCCCCTTCCGATTTGGCGTTTCTATTCTTCTTCTTCTACTTCTTGTGTCAGATCTGGAAAAATCGAATTCAGATCTATGAATCGACGAAGGATTCTTCAGATCTTTTTCATCTTCATCTTCTTCATCTCCTTCAGAACTCTTCGATTCTTACACCTTGGTGCGGGAATAGAATGCCTGATTTGGATCACCGGAATTTCTCATTGGCCGGAAATTTGCAGGTCGCCGGAATTTCTCTCCGGGCGATGGGATGGGCTGCAGGAACAGTGTGGGCATGGGTTAGGTTGAGGGGTATTTTGGGAAAGTCAATGTAAATTTTAACTTTTATTTAAACTCCGTGCCTTGTCAAACGGGAACTTTAAATGTGGACGGAGGGAGTATTAAATATTTGGTTTTTTTAAGGACATCATTATGTGATTTTTTTGTTACTCCTTAATGTCGTTTTTCCTTTTTATTAGTCACGTGAATTTTTGTTTACTTATATATCTTCATTTTTTATTTGATACTTTTCTCTATCTTAAAATTATCTTCTCTGTCACTATTCACATGGTCAAATTTTATTTTTACTTTTTTTACGTATTTTTGTTAGTTATTTGATAAAAATAATGTAGTCATCTCACCTCTTGTTTTGTAAAATTTTTGATGTATTTTGAAATATATAATTTTTATTTTTTAACTTTACACCTATTGTCAAATAAATTGAATTGAAAATAATTTCAGTCAAACTTCGTAAACAGAACTAGGAGAATCATTATAGGACGGAGGATCATTAAATATATAAATTACATTTTTTATTTTTATACTAATATTTAAATAAAATGAATTGAAAAAATTTGATATTTTACATCGTTTTGCAAAATGTGGTAAACAATTTGGAACGAAAGGAGTGCCTTTTATCATGTTAATGAGAAATTCAAGGCTAAAAATATAATTTCAAATCGACTCGATATATGTCTAGTGGCGTATTTTGATGTCAGCTTTGATGGTGTAAATTACCTAACCGGGTAAGCTATACTAGACCGGGTCTAGAATCGCCTACTTGATTCGGAAAGTAAAGAGGTAAAAAACACACAAATGACCGGGAGGACTGTAGGTGGAAACACCTGTAGCCCAATTGATATTATAAATATAGGAGAATGCACGAGAGCTTTTACAAGGGAGTTCAGAGAGAATGAATTCGGATCCATCCTTTTGAGGATTACAACAGTATTTATACTAAGTTTGAGGGGGACAGGACGTCGTGCACCCACGTGGAGGCACGTTCTCGAATGGTGGGAGGTGATGGCCTTCGTCTTTTAGCTGCCTTGTCGCCTAGTGAGGAAGCTTACTTCCTTTGTCATGTAACACCTTGAATGAATTCCTTTGTTCGAGTATCTCCAGCGATTCTCCACAGATCTCGGTCGCTACGGTCCAATCTCCTTTGGATTCTTCTCTACCGACACTTTCCAACCCTGAAAACCACACCGGGTAGTTTCTGAGGGATAAGTTTATTGAAAGTAGGGGCTGAACCAGGAAATAAAGTAGTTTGACTGGTATACTATCGTTAAGTGTACCGGTCCAAGGTTTGGTCAATCGAGCCTCCTTTTACTGATGATTAAGGCTTCCCTTTCCAGTTCGATCCACTTGACCGGTCAACTATTTAGTCCTCCCTTTTTACCGGTCCTGGGTGGAATACACCCATCAATAAGTCCTCCACTTCGCGGTCATGCAATTTGTCATGAGCGAGAAGTAAAAATCTGAAATTGGGTGTCAATTCGAGTTTTAGTCTTTTCCCGCCTTAAAATCTCAAAATTCGAATCTCGAACACTAAGGAATTCACCACGTGTCGAACACCAGCCGTTGCAACGGTTAGCTGTCCACCTGTCCTTTCGCCTGCCCCCGTATCATCATTGCGCCGCATGACGCGGTGCGGTCTTAGGAAGCCACGTCGTCTCTTTCGGTTTTCTCCCACCTATATAAGGACCTCCAACCTCCTTCACTTCTCACTTTTCGCACTTTGAATTCCAAAGCTTTCACCGGTCAAGTTTCCTTCTCTCGCCTTTCAGCCCTCCGAGTCAAGTAAGCTTCCCTCCTTTTCTTTAATTACTTTCCCTGTCATGTCTTCCTTAGGTAGCGATAGGATTTCGTCCTCAGATGACTCCTCATCTGGGGACTCTACCTCTTCTTCTTCGATCGGATACTATTCCTTTGATTCCGTACCTGGTCAAGTTCACAACCCATCTATCCCCGAGCTGGAGCCTGTAAACCAAGTGCCCGATCAGGTTTTCGTGGAGAGGGATGAACCGGTTGATAACGAACCGGGTCCCTACGACCCTGACACCGAGTCCTGGGGGGAGTGGGAAGAGCGGCTTCGCACTGCCGGTTACTTACTCCCCACTTATTATGTTCTTGACATTTCCTCCCATGTATCCAAAATCGCCCTTAATAAGGTTCGTAGAAGGCTCCCGGATGGGTACATCCTTCAGTACGAACATGACTAGCCCAATATAGTTGAACCCCACCGGGAGAACAGGATAGGTTTCCACATTGTCTCTCTGGATGGGGGCATCGTTTTTCCCTTTCGCCCCCTCCTAACCGAAGTCTGTCATGCGTTTAGGATTTTGCCCGGCCAGCTAACTCCCAACGCGGATCGTTATCTGCATTCCTTTGTAAATATCTGTTCTCATCTCAAAATCGAGCCTTCCCTTCGCCTTTTCCTTTTTTGTTTCGAAGTCTTACCGGGCGGGACCGGCTGTGAAGGTTTCGTGTACTTCAAAGGTCGCACCGGTAGGAAATTTATTTCCAATGTCCCCCAAAGTAACCGGGGATGGAAGGAAAAGTTTGTTTTTATTAAGTTTCCCCCGTTCGTCACTTCTCTGGCCGGTCTAAAGTGGAACGACCATCTCCTCAACCATGAGTATACCGTGCCGGCTTCCTCCCCTGATCTCGAAGCGAGCCTCGAGATTCTCCTTCGCGGTGATCCGTTCACCAGGAGGAAATTCCACTATGGGAGCTGGGTCTGGACAATCCAACCGGGTGGTGAGGGTACCTCCCAGGCCCATGAAGCAGTGGGGTGCGAGGTACCCTCCCCGGGCAACACTGCAGAGCCTGAGAGGAACTCCCACCCAGGTATTTGTGATTCACTTTGTACCTTTTTCTTTGACCGGTGGAGTTTTCCATACTTAGCAATTTCCTCTGGTTTTTGCAGACATGGAGTTCAAGGAGTTTGATATTCCTGATGACCAGCCAGCGGAGAGACCGGTGGCTCTCAAGATCTTCCCTCCAAAACATTCCCAGTCAATCAAGTGACCGTGGAAATTCTTGATGAAGAGGAACCTCAAGATACCCGGTCTAAGGGGAAGAGCCCTCCCAAGGGCAAAGAAAAGACCGGGCATTGAACCAAGTAGGCGGCCACCAACCATCCTTCTGCCATGAACAAGAGGTAGAAGACAGATTTTGGCACGGCCCACCAGGCCGTGGAGGAGGCTTACATCAACCTTGGTCTGCGGCTGAGGGAGGTAAGTTGCATTTCATACCCGTTTCATTTCCGTCTTGCATATTTAAGCTTGGTCGGGTTGTTTCATGTTGCGCAGGTTGGGGAGATCGGGCATATCACTGCTGACTAGTTGGGGATGGACTCTCCAACCGAAGTGGCCCGGCTGAAGAAGAAGAACGAGGAGCTGGCCCTCATCCTGAAGAGCCAGACGGATGAGTTGGCCAAGATGTCAAAGATGGCCGGGTCCTTAAAGGTGGAGAACACCCGGCTGAAGGAGGAGAATGACCAGCTGCTGGAAGAGGTCTCCGAGGCCAAGAGGGAGATGGCGGAGAAGGAAGAAAACTTCCCCGGGCGCGCAGCTGCCTGGGTGGAAGAGAACAAAGCCGACGCTGCCCGGGTGATGACGGCGATGCCAGAGGCCACCATGGAGTCCTTCAGGTTCTTGTACCGAGAACCTAAAAGGAGGAAGATGATTACCGTGATTGGGTCCTTCGGATTCAAGAGCGGTCAGAAGAAAGACCAGGCTGCCTCTTATAGGATCCTGAAGAAAAGGGATCCAGACTTCACCGCGGCTTCCTATGGTCTGGCCCCCATTCCAGAGGAAGAGCCTACTCCCCCCTTCCCCCTAAATTAGGATCTCCCCGGCTCCGACTGGTTGTTTTGTAACCTTGAAACTTTCTCAATTTCCCCGGGTATGCCCGGTGTATCTGTAAACATTTAACATTCTCATTTCGTTTGAATGCCATGTTTATTTGTCCACCCGGTCTTTGTTTCTCCTTTGAATGCTTTTTATTTGATATCTACTTCTTTGAATGCTTTTCTGCTCCTTTAACTTCTGCCGGTAGAACTTCAATGTTTCCTCTTTTGAATATCTTCCTTTTAATGATCAACTTGAACATGACCTTCAGTTTAATCGGTAGGTCCCCTTTTCACGGTCTGACCGGTCAACTGATTCACCTTGAAGAACTTTCGAAGTCCTGTTGTATTAATACCCAACTGGGGTATTCCTTTTCTTTTCACCGGTATGTTGTAGATGGAAGCACCTGTAACCTAATAATTTTTTAAGTATTCTTAACCGGTAAGAATACTAGAGATTTAACCATGTCGAATGGTTTCGAACCCTCTCTAAGGTTCAAATGCACCCTTCTTCCAGGTCCAGGCCTCTTAGAGGCATACCCCTCTTCCGGGACCTCTCTTCCGGGTTTTATTATTTTTTCTATTATACTGAGCAAGACCGGTGTAGTAACCAGCGTGCCAGGTCCGGGCTTGTGTCTCATTTGGCTTATCCAAGTGGATTCGATCTACCCGAGAATCCCTCCTAGGATAGGTTCGACCTATCACTTCCTTTGCTACCAGGTAGAGTATTGAACTTCATCAATTCGATTGATAATAGAAGTAGGTCTCGCCTAGTATTACAATCATTTGTAGAATTTTCTCACATGAAGAGAATTCCAAGTTCTTTCTACCGGTATACCACTTAGGGTTTCTAACCGGTAGGTTCCCGGGTGAATAATAGCTCCCACCCGGTATGGGCCTTCCCAATTCTTAGCCAGCTTTCCTCCATCTCCCGGCTTACTAGCCTCTCTTCTTCGCAAGACTTCATCACCAACTTGGAAGTATCGCGGCCCAACCTTGTTGTCGTGGTACTTCTTCACAACTTGTTGGTACGTACTCATTTTCACTTCCGCAGCCATCCTTCGTTCCTCGACTAAGTTGAGTTCGGCTAAATAGTCTTCTTCGTTTTGCTGGGGTTGATACCTTGATTCCCGAAACGTTGGGAATTCAGTTTCGATGGGTAATCTTGCTTCACACCCATAGGTTAAGGAAAACGGAGTTCCCCATGAGCCCTCCTGGGTGTTACTCGAAATGCTCGTATGATATGCGGAAGCTCTTCCAACCACCTGTTTCCTGCTTCTCCCAGCCACTTCTTTAAACCATCTACAATTGTTCAGTTGGCATTTTCCACTTGGCCTTTTCCTTGGGGGTATGCCATCGAAGAACAATTGTGTTTAATCCCGAAGCCCTCCAAGTATTCAGTGAATCTCGGATTTTGGAATTGCGGGCCGTTCTCGGTGATGAGATTCATAGGAGCTCCAAAACTCGTGATGATGTTCTTCCAAATGAATTTCTTGCATTGTTGCGTGGTGATATTGGCCAACGCTTCGGCTTCGATCCATTTGGTGAAGTAATCGATGGCCACGATTATAAACTTCTTCCTTCTTTGAGCGACTGGGAATTCTCCAATGATATCAACCCCGAATCTAGCAAATGGGATGACATTCGATACGGGGTGATAGTAGGTTGCTGGTCTACCGGGATATTTATAGAACACTTGGCACGTTCGGCATTTTTGAACGTACCTTTCACAATCCTCGACAATTGTTGGCCAGTAATACCCCAATAAGATGATGCGCTGGGAGAGGGTACATGACATTTGATGTGCTGCGCATACACCTTCATGGACTTCCGCTATGACTCGCTCTGCTTCTTGGTTTGTCAAGCATCTCAAGAGTGGTCCCCCGAATGCCCTCTTATATAGCATTCCGTCAATGACTTGGAACCGGGGTGCCCTGAGTTTTACTTTTCTTGCCCGGTCATCTTGTTCTAACAAGCTTCCATCTGTCAAATATTTCATAAGGTCACTCATCCAATGGTCGTCCGTCCCGACCGTGTTTGACCGGTCAGAATGGCCGACTGCTACTATAGTGGCCACCTCCAATTTCTCGATGCTGGCTCGATCAAGGATTTCTACCCGAGCAAGTTCTGAAACATGCTCGGGGGCATACTGCGTCAATTTGGAGAGAAGATCGGCATTTGCGTTTTTTGCCCGGGGAATCTGGGCGATCTGGAATTCCGCGAAGCTCTTCAATAAGGCTAGCACTAGATCCTTGTACTGCGCCATTCGTCCTTCCCTTGCTTCCATGTTACCGGTCACTTGCCCCACAATCAGGCTAGAGTCAGATTTTATACTGACCCGGCTGATTTTGAGAGCTTGAGCGAGTCTGAGTCCTCCAGCTAGAGCTTCATATTCTGCCTCGTTATTCGTTAATTTGAAGTTGAAGACGAGTGCTTGGTAGATCTTAAACCCTTCTGGGGTGGTAAACACTATGCCTCCTCCATATCCTTTAAGACCACATGCCCCATCTACGACCATCTCCCACCATTGTTCTATGGGTTGATTTACCGGTGAATTCGGAGTCAGACTGGTCATTTCCACCAGAAAATCTGCAAGGACTTGTCCCTTGATTGCTGATCTTGGCCGGTACTCGATATTGAATTGAGTTAACATCATAGCCCATTTCACCATCCTCCCGGAGGATGTTGAATTCCGCAATACTGCACCCAGCGGTTGGTCAGTCAAGACTTCGATCGGGTGAGCTTGGAAGTACGATGTTAATTTTTTGGCAGAGATTAAAAGTGCATATGCTGTCTTTTCCATTGCCGTGTATTTACTCGGCTGACCGGGAAAGAAATCAGCTAAGGGCCGCTAGACGACCGGTCAACTTTTGAACATCCCTAACAGAGGTAGGGGCTTGCATTTCGGTGATAGCCCGGATTTTCTCTGGGTTGGGCTCTATTCCTCTCTTGGTCACCATGAATCCCAAGAACTTCCCGGTACGAACCGCGAAGACGCATTTCTTAGGATTCAATTGGAGGTTGTATCTTGCCATGATATCAAATGTTGCACGCATGTCAGCCGGGTGGTTGAGAGATACCTGGCGTTTAATCAGCATGTCGTCGACGTATGCCTCCATGGTCTTTCCCAGTAATGGCTTGAAGAGCTTGTTCACCATGCGTTGGTAAGTGGCTCCTGAGTTCTTCAAACCAAACGCCATTACCCGATAACAATAGGTTCCTTCGGGCGTGAGAAACGACGTCTTTTCTTCATCTTCCATCGTTATGTAGATTTGGTGGTAGCCCTTGAAGGCATCCATGAAACTTAGGAGTTCGCACCCCGCCGTTTCGTCCACCATTTGATCTGGACTGGAAGGGGGTATGAATCCATCGGACAAGCCTTGTTTAAGTCCGTGTAATCCACACACATTCTCCATGTGTCACCCTTGAGAGCAAGGACCACGTTGGCCAGCCAATCCGGATATTTGACTTCTCGGATGTGACCAACACTGAGGAGGTCCTTTACCTCCTTTCGGACAAAGTCTCTCCGGTCACTGGCTAGGTACCTCTTCTTCTGGCGTACCGGTCGACTTCCATCCCTTACTTCCAGCCGGTGGCAGATGATTGAGCGGTCAATCCCTGGCATATCTGCCACGCTCCATGCAAATATGCCTGCGTACTCTTAGAGGACCCGTGTAATCTCCGCCTTGAGATCTTCTAGGAGATTTGCTCCAATTCTTACCCTCCTTGAAGAATCCCCTGGGTGAAGTTCGACTTCCACCGTCTCAGCCTCACGCTCAAGTTTTTCTCGGGTCTCCCCCTTGGTGATTTCTTGGGAGATGACCTTTACTCCTTTCGTCATCTTCTTGCCTGCCCGGGCATAGCACTTTCGGGCGTTCTTCTGGTCGCCTTTCACCTCTCCCACACCACCTGGTGTGTGGAACTTCATGCAGAGGTGAGGCATGGAGATGACCGCTCGAAATTTGTTGATGCCCGGTCTTCCTAGTATTGCGCTATGGACGCATTTGATGTCCATAAGACCATAACAATGAACCTCATTTTCTTCCACACGGTTTTGTCCCCCGTCGCGAGTTCGACCGGTAGGACTATGGATCCTTCAGCTTCCACGGTATCTCCTGTGAAGCCTGAGAGTGGAGTCTTGAGGGGTTCAAGTTGTGTCCGACACAACCTGAGTTTTTGGAAAGTCTCTAGGTACAGAATGTTGACACTGCAGCCGGTGTCAACTAGTACCCGGGCAACATCCACCTCGTTAATTTCCATGGTGATGACCAAGGGATCATAATGGTCTTCACCGGTGGCTGGAAGGTCCCGATTGGTGAAGACTATCGGTTCCCTCCTCGTCTGCTTTCGTCTATCTTGACCTTACGCGGGAAAGGTGTTAGATGGACCCTTGTGGTGAACGGGGACCCGGCGAGGGGTTTACCCCGGTCATTCTTCTCCCCCACTCTCTTCTCCAACCTCTCAAGTTTCGCCTCCATCTGCTGGACGCGATCATTCGGGATGGTTAGCCGGTTAGCCACCGGCCCACGGGGTTGGCTTTTTGCTTCTTCTTCCTTGCGTGAAGCCCTTGTTCTTGTAGGCTCTTGACAGTTTGACCGGGAGCGCTAGGTACGGGCAGGCTTGGCCTCCCTTCCCTCGCCTAACCGGGCAAACGCACTAACATGGGCAACGCTCTGCCCCAATCTTAGCTTGGATGACTTCCCTCTGACCTTATTCCCTATCCCCCATCCTTTCGAAGGCGGAGTTTCGGGAAGTTTCCGGCCTGAGGGCCTTTCCCTTCTTCTTCTTGTGGGCTCTGGGGACGTCCCACTCTTCATCATCACTCTCCACGGAGATGCAATGACCCTCTGGAGTTGTCTGGGGATGGGCGTTCTATGGAGGGCGTGAGGGACCGACGGCGTTGAGTGCACCGGTCAAGTTGATGGGGGGCACAGCACTGACCACCTGCGGCTGGAAAGGTGAAGGCTGTGGTATTGGCGTCTGAAATGGCGTCAATGCCATTGGAGTTTGAAGGGGCATCGAACTAGCTCCTGGAAGGGCGAAAGGAAACATGCCAGGGAGGAAAGGCATTCCCCCGTTCTGTTGACACATGGCCATGACCTGGCCAAAGCCTTGGATGGCCTGCAGGTTGGCCGGGTCGTTCATGAACTGGATCATGCTTGGTGGGAACGTGACCCTCGGTCCAGTAGAAGGGACGGGGATTGTGAAAGGGGTAACCACGCTCGGCGTTGGGATTGAACTCAAACCCAACGACGCCAACAGAGTAGAGATAGCCGGTAGGGTAGCAACCAAGGGGATGCTGGTACCCTTAGTGGTGGCTTGCACCAGAGCTGAAGTAGTGTTGATTTGCTGGCTTGAAGACATTTTGAGTGGTGTTTTTTGTGGGTAGGTTTGTGTTTAGATGAAAAGAAACCTTAACAGTCCCACGGTCGGCGCCAAAAATGATGGTGTAAATTACCTAACCGGGTAAGCTATACTAAACCGGGTCTAGAATCGCCCACTTGATTCGGAAATAAAAAGGTAAAAAACACACAAATGACCGGGAGGACTGTAGGTGGAAACACCTGTAGCCCAATTGATATTATAAATATATGAGAATGCACATGAGCTTTTACAAGGGAGTTCAGAGAGAATGAATTTGGATCCATTCTTTTGAGGATTACAACAGTATTTATACTAAGTTTGAGGGGGACAGGACGTCGTGCACCCACGTGGAGGCACGTTCTCGGATAAGGGGAGGTGATGGCCTTCGTCCTTTAGCTGCCTTGTCGCCTAGTGAGGAAGCTTACTCCCTTTGTCATGCAACACCTTGAATAGATTCCTTTGTTCGAGTATCTCCAGCGATCCTCCACAGATCTCGGTCGCTACGATCCAATCTCCTTTGGATTCTTCTCTGCCGACACTTTACAACCCTGGAAACCACACCGGGTAATATCTGATGGATAAGTTTATCGAAAGTAGGGGCTGAACCAGGCGATAAAGTAGTTTGACCGGTATACTATCGTTAAGTGTACCAGTCAAAGGTTTGGTCAATCGAGCCTCCTTTTACTGACGATTAAGGCTTCCCTTTCCAGTTCGATCCACTTGACCGGTCAACTATTTAGTCCTCCCTTTTGACCGGTTCTGGGTGGAATACACCCATCGAGCTTGATGGAAAACCAATCATAATGACTATATATAGCTATGAACTAGTGTTTTGATCATGGACAACATCTATAGACTATTGTGGCAGCAGATAGCGACTTCCATGGGTGCATCAGCTGCCACCTTCTAGCATTGGTTAAGACAAGAAAGATATATATGATCATTGTGAAATTATAGTTTTAACCCTCAATTTAACACCAACATGATACAAGGTCAAAAACATTACCAGTGGAAACATGAGAGGCTCGGAGGGTGCGTAATATGTGTATCCAGACATGATCCCCAAAATTTTTGGGCCCAATACTTTTATATGTTCTTTATTCTATTGACTTGATATTTTAAATTTTAATTTAATTTTATATTTTAATATTCAAATTATTATAAAAATGGTTATTAAAAATCAAATTTAGCACTACTTTTAAAGCATGAGAATTCTACAAAAAAAAATAGGGCCCAACACGTGAATTTTGCACAGTGCCAATCTCATTTTTTTCACATTTTCAGGCTCATCCCGCGTAGAAAGATATTCATAAAAGAAAGACCACGAGCGTAATATTTAATAATATATTACTAGATACGGAAAAGCCCTTATTATAAAGAATCGATTGTAGAATTTATTAAAAACTTATTTATCTGAAGATCAACAAATCACTCCAAAAATAAAAATAAAACATAGTTTTCACTTAACCATGAATAATGTGAGTGGTTTTATTGTTTATAAGCAGATCAGAATTACTTACAAATTGTTTTTAACTTATAAGTCAACTTATGCCATATTTTTCTGTGTGTATAAGCGCTTCTTATAAGTCAAAAAATAAGTATTCTTCCCTACTTCTTTAAGCAAGTTTTTTATTTTTCCATTTTGATCAGCTTGTTTACAAAATTGTTTCTCACCATTTATGAATATCTCAAAATTACTTATCTATCATTTAAGCCATTTTACATCCCTGAAAAAATATTTTCTTTACAAGCTTCTAATAATTTAAAAACCTCTTATCAGCAATTAAGCAATAAGTACTAGCACAGAGAAACTCCTCCAATATGTATTTATATCCAAAATAGGATTATTGTAATCTAACATTACATTGTGACACTATAAATTTTTATTCTGTAGTATTTTTTATGTTATAATTTGTTGGGAACCCTTTGTGCGGCCCAAAACAAATTAAAGATTAATTAATAATCATTAGCTAATCTCCAAGATATAATGAAATAATACTATAGCTAGGGAAAGTAAATATTGATCCCACAGAGAAAGTTTATACTTTTTTTAAAATCCAAATTAACATTCACACAACACATACTAAAATATAAGTGAATGAAATATATAAATTCATATTTAAAATAAATTATAAACATAATGCTTATATTACTCTCTCTGTTCGGGAATGTTCTTCCCGTGTTGACTTGGCACACTTATAAAAGAATCGTAAAAAAACTTCCAAATTTACAAAAATGCACATACTATAAACTTTTAAATCTCCTTTTATTATTAAAAAGCAATAAAAAAAGTAGATTAGTGATAAAATAAAAGGGTACTATTGACATTTATCCTT